CTCATCCCACATTCCATCTTTGCATTGCTCCAAACCACTCTCCAAGGCCGTGTGTGGCCTCCCCGTCGACTATTCAAGGTTGATTTCTGTGACATGTGGGTCATACAATGTACCTTACTATTTCCTGCCGTTTTTCTTTTCCATCCAGAAAACTCTCAAGGCCATCCTTTTGTCGCTCCTCGACTCTCGGTTTTGGGTTCAATCTGCTTCAGCGTGAGAAGCTCTGGTGATTAGAAACGTTTTTCCGTGGAGAGAAATTTATGTGAACCTCTGTACTGGACAAATCGTGAAGCGTTACAGGGACTTTCGGTCCACATTGGCTGAATGTGTCCTATGGAAAGAATAAGCAAGGTTCCACGCGTTAGGCTGAAAAAATTGCCGCGTTCTGTAAAACGTTTTATGGTGCATGATGGAATGGAATGGACCTGAAATGTTTTGATGAATATTATTTTATTTTTGTTGGCTGTTGGACCAGATTCACTGAATTACCTAGATGCCTACAGCTGCGATGCGACCCTTTGATTTTGCAGATTGGTGTTGTACAGTATGCGGTGCCCGCTGTGCACTGGCCATAAAACAAGCTCGTCTGGTTGGACACTTTCGACCCGCCAATTGTTGTACTGTAGACCGCCGTCTTCGTCATGCCCTTTTGGCTTGGAGGCAACTTTGACGACAGCAGCTGACTTGCACTGCTCAAACCAAGTGCGCCAATTGCACGGATTGATGCAGCTCAAGTTTCACTTGCAAGACCAGTTCCGGGTCGCATACAGTCTGGTGTGCACGCGTTGACATTCAGAATTCAGCAGAAATCAAGAGATTTGAGAGAGTTTCTCCAGACCCCGAAACGGTGATTTGCCGTTGCACACGTGGCCTCGAATTGCTACCGTGGTCGGACAGTTCGATGATAATTGCTCGAGTGGTCTTGCCAGAGGTTTCCTCTGGCATTTTTTTAATCCGGCACATTACCCAAAGCCGGTTTTTAACCCTGAAATTCTTACTTCGAACGTGTCTCTTCCCGCGAAAGTGTGGCGTACACGGAAAGACGTGCACGAGGGCGACTTCGTCACTATTCGGATACGCGAAAAAAATCAGCACACTCATCTAGGCAAACAGTTGCGCTCAATTTTGGTCCATATCGTAACCAATCCGCGCATAGTTATATGATTCTACGATCATATATTCAGCTGGACGGATGTCAGTACGCGCGACCAATTACAGAGTGCCCCTGATTGGTCGACTTTATGCGCGAGGCCTTTTTTTACCTTGAACGTCCAATCAAACGCGGTCATGTAAGATCGCGCTCATGTGGAATCGCATATTTACCTACAATATATGATGCTGATATGTGATGTATGATATGTGCACATATGTGATGCTCGAATGTGTGTATGATTATTTTTTATTAATCTAAAACTATATTCATAAATTAGAGAGACATTATTACTGCCAACATTTTGCCATTATACCTATATCACGCTGTGCGATATAGGTATGCACAGTTTGATATAGGTATAATGGCAAAACGCTGGTAGTGATAACGTCTCTCAAATTTATTAACATAGTTTTATATTAATAAAACAGATCACACAAATATTTGAGCATCACATATGCGCGCTCATATAGGTAAATATGCAATTTTATATGAGCACAATTTTACATGACCGCGTCTGATTGGACGCGCAAGGTCACAAAAGGCCCCACGCATAAAGTCGACCAATCAAGTGCACTCTGTAATTGGTCGCGCGTACTGACATCTGTGCAACTTAGTATATGATCGGGGAATCATATAACTATGCGCGGATTGGTTACAATATGGACCGAAATTGAGCGCAACTGTTTGCCTAGATTACCGTGCCAATTTTGTCGCGTATCCGAACAGTGACGGCGCTGCCGTCGTGTACGTCTTTCCGGGTGCGTCACACTTTCGTAGGAAGAGACAAGTTTGACGTAAGAATTTCAGGGCTAAAAACCGGTTTTGGGTAATGTGCCGGATAAAAAAAATGCCAGAGGAAACCTCTGGCAAGACCACTCGAGCAATTATCATCGAACTGTCCGACCACGGTAGCAATTCAAGGCTACGTGTGTAACGGCAAATCACCGTTTCCGGGTCTGGAGAAATTCTCTCAAGAGATTTCCTCCAAACCCTTGTTTGGAGAATCGTTGTTGCACACGTGGCCGCCATTTCTCGAGTGGCTCTCAAATTCATTGATAATTGCTCGAGTTGCCTCGCCAGGGGATTCTCAACGTCTTTTTTTGAGAAGGCACATTACCCTTTAGGGATATTTGTCATCGAAACTTTTGTATTATTGCGCTATCTTTTATATCAGAAATTTATGCTCGTGACCCTATATGAACGCGCCCGATTGTACGCGCATATAATTGACCAATCCTCCACGGCCATTAATGGTCGCGCGCATCATATTTTAATGCTCGATCATATATTTCCGCGGTCATAAACTGCAGTGCCCGGGCGTCAATGCGGGACCCTGAATGACCGCGCATGATTGGTAAATTTATGCGCGGTGCCTTTTTTTGAGTTGTGCGTCCAATCAGGCGCGGTCATATAGCGTCACGAACATAAATTTTGGATAATGAAGATCGCGCAATAACCAGTACAGAGGTTTCGGGGATAGAAACCCGTGTAGGGCATTGTGCCGGGTTAAAAAATGCCAGTGGGAATCCCCTGGCAAGGCCACTCGAGCAATTATCACTGAATTTGAGAACCACGCGACCAAATTGTAGTCACGTGGGTAACTCTGAATATCAAAACAAGGGTTTAGAGAAATTATCTTGTAGAAATCTCTCGGAGGACGAGAGTTGGCAGAAGGAATTGCAGTGCATTTTACTGTTCTGTACAGCAAAATGTGTCCGAGCGTGAGCAGGCTGTGATGTGTGGTGAACACTTGAACAGACTGGTTGGGACTCGAAGTTCGCATTGCAATGCAAGGCGGCTCGGATCAATATTGTGAAGACATGTGGTTTTACACTGTTCGACGAGTTTTAGAGAGATGAAATGCGATTCATCTTTCACTTGACAATACCCCGGACAATATTGTGTCCCCAGGAATTGTTGGACACTTTGTGTCGGGACAAAATGACTCCAGAACTTTGCCACAACGGCGAACACGACCAGCAGTGAGGTCGCACAACTTGAAAATGAGTCGTTCCAGCGCAAAAGCGGTGGATAGAAACGACATTAGTCACCACCACCACCGACTGAATTCCTGACTGATGGAGTCCAGAAATTCGGACATGCCCACAGTCCTCTCTCCTCCCCACCCCACACACCCCAGACATTCTCCTCAGTCCAGGCTGTCCACCCCAGACGATTCCCATCTTTCTCCTCTCCCCACCCAACATTCTCCACCCCCCTTCCGCAATGCCTTCTTCCGGCACGTTGTTCCGCTTCACCTCCATTCTTCGTCAAGGCATCTGGCATGCTATTGCTAGGATTTTTGCTAGCCCGGACGATCCGGGCCCCTGTGGAAAAGATCCTGTTATATCCGAGCCATCTGGGAAAAAGCCTTTACGGGTTCGGGCTCGAGTCATAAAAGGCCTGGAAACCTGCATGACACCGGAATTTTACGGGATGGGAGAGAGTCACAGCACTTGGGCTGGGGTGGTTGGGTGGAAGGAGCGGCTCTAGAGGGGTGAGAGAGAGACATTTCGCGAACTTTAAAAACATCTCTGGAGTTGGCCGCCATGCCTACGTAGAACGGGGCAATCCGACACTTGGAGGCCAAACCAGGAGCGAGTGGTAGGAAATTCCACGAAAAGTACATCCCAGAGGATCCGAGTTGTCTCATATATCACCCTTCAGTTTTACTGGCCGATCCAAAAAATCACGTAGTCAGTAATACCCTGTTGAGTTTGGTAATTTAGGATAATTTCCCTGCTATTGTGAGCCCTCCACAACACTCCACGCCAGCAAACCACATCTGCACTCCCCTGCCCCGAACCATGCATACCGACTTCTCGCGTCAGGGATAGCTTGGCACTGCCAAGTGCCATCCATCACCGCCCGCACATCCCTCCGCACATCCATGGTGGTCTAGTGTACAGTATACACGCTGTCCTTCCTTCTCCCCCCTCTCCCCTCACATGCGCGCTGACAATTCAGTCCCCCCCTCTCCCATCCAGTATTGGCCCATCAACTAGGTGAATATTCCTCCTCACTGCGCCTTCCTTCCCCCCCCCCCCCCAATTCTTCCCCTTCCCCCCACTTCCTACTTCCTCCCTGGCGCTAACATCCCACAACTGTAACCCCGCCCATCAGCAGCCATGGCTGCTCCCTCCCTTCGCACATCACCGATTCGCCGTCCAGCATAGGACCATCGTTCCCACTATTTTTCGTGAACCAAACATTAACGGTTCACTCGTGAACACGATGTCGTGTGAGTTATGCGGTGAGCACACGCAGAAGCCAGCCGTCGTGACTGTCAGACCGGAGGTTCATCAGGTATGCTTATTATGGTCCACGAGAATCCTTGCTAAGTTGAGCTGCGTAGGTCTACGAGTTACTGTACCACCATCCCCGTTTCGAGCAGCTGACTGAGCGCCCATCTGCCTTCGAGAAAGGCCCTGAAAGCTCAACTGATTTCGTTTGCTTTGGCTTCGTCAAGCACTAGGCGGCGCAGCGAAGCCGCTAACGTCGGCCAGGCAACGAGTGGAGTCGAAGTGACTCTAGGGTTCTCCTTATTTCCCGTACAAAGTACCTAGCGCAAGCTCTCGACTCGCGTGGAAGTTAAAGATGAGCATCACCATCGCTGTAATGCTATCGATTCGGTAATGACCCTCGTACAAGCCGAGAACGGAAAACAGCACTCGGCAAGACAGCTGATACGGTTATGAGACAGACAATGGCGAGGACATTTACCTCGAAGCTCGTAGACCAAAGATACTGTATGATTTAAAAGTTCGACTTTCAGAACGTCTTGATTGTTTTCCGGCGGCGGACAACAGCGGCGGGTATCATGGCCAACGCTGCGTCGCTCGACGCCATGACGCCATTTCCGCTGTCCTCCGCACCTGCCGTTTTCGCTTACGATACCCTCGCGGCTGCGACTGCTCCCGCTTCCGCTTTCTACTCCTCCCCCGACCTTCCGCAGCCGCAGCGGCCGCAGCCGGAGCAGCCGCAGCTACAGCAGCCGGAATCGCGCCATCAACCGCATGTCGCCACATTCATTGCGGCTTCCCCCTCTGCCAATCCTGCTTCCGCCGCCTCCCCCGCTTCGAACATTTCCGCCGACCCGCCGCAGCACCCGCATCAGCCACAGCCGCAGCAACCGCATTCGCGCCTCCAGGCACACGCCATGCTCATCGCCGCCGCCACAGGCCGCGTCGCGCTGCCCAATCTTTCCGCCACGCGCCCCGCCGCGATTCTGAGCGAGAATCACGCGAGCGATGATTGCGTCGGTAACGGCTCTCGGGCGAACAGCAACAGCAACGGTATACGCGATAGTGTCAGCATCGGTACCCGCAAGGGCGTGGCTTCAGCATCGCACGGCAACTCCGCCGCGCCTCCAGAGCCCGCGACGGCAGCGGCGACAGCCGCGTGCGACGCTCCGGCTCGTAACGTAACGGCTAATAACGAAGCCGCGACGTCAGTTCGTGCGTCCCGTCCGCCGACACAGCAACCGGCGGGGTCGGCAGTGTCCGGCAGGAGAAGCGGGAGAAGCGGGAGAAGCGGGAGAAGCGGGAGAAGCGGGAGGAGCACGAGCGGCACGAACGAACGGATCGGCAACGGGGGTGGCGACACGAACGGGGGAAGCGGGGCGAATGGCAGCTGCGGCGGTGGTTGCGGACTCGGCGGCGGATACAGCGGCGGCTCGGGCAGCGCCTTTGACGGCGGCTTTGGCGGCGATGGGTACAGCAGCGCGAAGGCAACGCCGGCAGTCCCTATCAACACGAAATCACCGCTTTCCTCGACGGATCTTAGAACGGACAATACTAATAGCGGCGCCGCCCACCCTTGCGTGCGACCCTTCGACTTAGTAGCAGTAACGGCCGATCTCTTAGTCCGCGAAAACTCGCTACTAGTCCAAGGAAACTCGTTAATACGCGGTGGTGACGTCATAGCCCGAAAAGGCTCCGCAAATCTGAAAGACGCAATAACCCGTCTCCTTTCCGACACCGTGGCGTCGCCTCCTGTGCCACCGCCTGTGCCGCCAGCTGCGCCGCCGCTGGCGCCGCCGCTGATGCAGCAGCCCTTGAAACGATCTTCTCCGCCCATCCCAACGTTCTCTGCTCCGCCCTCCCGAACCAGCGGCGACCCTGCCGAGCCTCTTCCCAAACCTCCTTCCGAACCTTCTTACGGGCCTCGTTCCTGGCCTTCCATTCCCGAGCCTCTCCGCCCGTCGCATGCGAACCCTCTGCCCGCGTCCGCCCAGCCCTCGTGCGCGCAGAGCGCCGCCCCATCCGCTTCCCCTTTACCCGCGGCTCTGGCGGCGCTACTGGGCATGACACGTGGCACGGATCCGTTGCAGTTCATGGGAATCGAACGGCGGAGGGATGATCTGCTGCGAGCCGCGGCGTCGGCTCGCAGCACCTGCGGCGTCCCGTCGGTCAACTGCCCTTCGCAAAGCAATCTCGTCTCGCAGGTCTCGTCCCATCCGTCCGATTCGCTCTCATCTCATCCGTTTAATTCGCTCCTTGCTGCGCCATCCGCGGCCTTTCCGTGTCTGCCGCGATCCGCTTCCGCTCCCGCCGGGTCTGGGGAAGGCGGAACAGCAGCGGAAACATCAACAGCAACAGCAACAGCAACAGCGGCAGCGGCAACGGGGAAAAGGGAAGGGGAAGCAGCGGGAAGCGAGGGGGAGCGGGGCGCGGGAGCGGAGTGGGTGGCGCGGACGCCGCGCGAGGAGGACATCAACGAGTGGCTGGCGAAGGTGCTCGGCCCGGGGGGGTTGCAGGCGCGCGGGGGGGGAATACAGCGGCGGGAGCAAGAGGAAATGGCGAAGGTGCTCGGCCCGGGGGGCTTGCAGGCGCAGGGAACTGCAGGGGGGGTCGGCATGCAGCCGCGGGAGCCAGCGGTTGCGGGGAATGCGCCTGGGCAGGAGGCGCAGCAGAACGCCCCGGCGGCTGGGAGCGCCGGAGGGTGGGGCCAGGGGGCAGGGCGCGCAAGAGATGGGGTCCGGGCGGAACAAAGTGGAGAAGGGCGGAGAGGCGGAAGCGGGTGGGCGGGAGGGTTGCTGGCTGAAAACATTCAGCTTTTGGCTGCGAATCAGGGGTTATGCTCGAGTCTGGGGGTGAATGCAAATTCGGGGTTAGATTCGGGGTTAAATGCGGGGCAGGGGGCAGGTTTGGATGAGATTGTTAGTCTGGCTGGTGCTGTGCTTTCCAGGCACGCAGCAGCGGGCGCAGGGGGGGTGTCAGGTGGCACAGGAGAATTCACGTTTGGATCGTTGGGTGCAGCGGGGTTAGGTGCGGTAGGGAACGATGTGATGATGGGAGGACGGGATGCGATGGCAGCAGCAGCAGCAGCGGTGCAGGGGATGTATAGACAGGCTCTGGTGGACCGATACATGCAGGAGCAGCAGGCAAGCTTTGAGGCGCCTCAAAAGGCAAAAGCTGCAGCAGAAGCAGCAGCAGTAGAAGCAGTGGAAGCGGTGGAAGCAGAAGCAGCGGTGCAGAGGATGTATATACAGGCTCTGGTGGACCGATACTTGCAGGAGCAGCAGGCGAGCAGATCGCACACTGCCATGCCCACTCTTGCTGCCGCTGCTGCTGGTGGTGCTGGTGGTGGCGGTGGTGGTGTTTTTCCTGCCTGCGCGTCTGGCAGTGGTGGTGCAAGTGCAAGCTCCAGCGCTGCTGCTCGTGCGTGTGCTGGCAGCAGTGCTGGGAACAGTGTTGCCAATGCCGCTGGCAACGTTGCTGTCAATGCTGCTGTCAGCAGTGCTGCCAGTGCACACGTTTTACGGCAGCATGATGGCATGCAGTTAAAGCGGCAGTTATCAGCAGCAGCAGCAGCAGCCGTTGCCGTTCATGCTTCTGCTGCACTGCCCCTTGAACGTGCTGCTGCTGATGCGTCTGGGTGTGAGAGTGCACCTCTGTGGGATGGTGTGTCTGGGTGCGCTGGTGTGTCGCTAGGTCAGTGGGACTCGTGGGAGCTGCAGCAGCCTGCCACTGTCCAGGAGCTTGTGCTGCAGTGCAATAAAAGGTGAGCTTCCTCTCATCTCATCTCATCTCATCTCATCTCATCTCATCTCATCTCCTCTCCTCTCCTCTCCTCTCCTCTCCTTTCATCTCCTTTCCACTCCTCTCCCCTCCTCTTCTCTGCTGCTGCCTTTCAACCCTATAACCAAGCTTTGTTCGCATATTTGTTTGGCTGTCAATCGCACACGTTTGTGCAAAATCAATGCCAGTGTACACTCCAGTTAACTGTGCTCCTGTTGTGCTGTCTTGTTGACTGTTTTGTCTCTGCCAGAAAACTTGCTGCTCTACAGGAAACAGTATTCAACGAGCAAAACAGACAACGCATGCTCTAGGTAACAGAATCTCTCGTGCAAGTGACTCGCACATCGAGAACCACACACACACCCAAGGAGCACTTGGATATTAGTTTGTACAGGAAGTACTATGAACATTCCCTGAATAGGCTGCAAAGACGGCCAGTAAAACTAGCCCAACAGGCGTTACCGTATTGGCCTAAACTAAAAGGCTGTCATTACTTCCCGCTAGTGTTTTAGCCACTTGTGATTTTTTCTCATTTCTGTTCTACTGCACTCATAACAGATCCTGGAAGTGTATGTGAACCTCCCGTGTCTCATGCTATCGCGGATAGTGTTGCCTTCATCGTATGGCAAGGCCCTAAGCGAATTTCCGTGATTTTGGGCTAGCTCGACGGGTACACACCCATATCTTCTCAATTGTTTCAGCGTTTTCGATGGTCACCCTGCTTTTTTAGGGATTCAGTATTCACATCTCATACTCGAAAGGCAGCAAGCATTACTAATCCTGAAATCAGACCTAGGCCGAAGTTCAGAGCCATACGAGTCAGAAGTTTATATTGGTAGGATGGTACACATTCCCGAATCACCAGTGTTCCGAACCAGGTCCCTGAAAATGTAAACTTCGGAAAAAAATCGGAACGCGTTCAATGTCTTCGGAATGCAATTGCATCCTGCTCGGGACTCAAATTAATCCCAGTGGGCGTTTCGACTCTTGTTTAGCTTGGTTGTAAACATCGTTTCGACGGTCCTGCGCAAGGTAGCGACATTGTGTACGGTAATAGCAAATGTGTATGGCAGTGACTTGCACGCATTGCAATAATTCACTTCCCCTCTGTTCCCGGATTGTTGACGTTTTAACTCGCGAATTGTGCTTATCTTAGCTCGATGCAGCTGACAAGCATTTTCATCCGTCAACTACTAGCTGAAGGTCTCGCAAAGCGATCTGCTGTAATGTCTGGCCCTGCAGCAACTGATGCCGCGACTCCGCAACGACCGCCAATTCACAACAACGACCAAGTGACCGTTGACAAAATAGACGACGACTACGAATATTCTAACGACGACAGCAACGATGATGACGACACATTCTCCACGTCGTCATCTGAGGACCTGAGGACCAAGATCGAAGAGCTCAAATGCGACGCCGCCAGCAAGAAATTCTCGCCTTCCTCCGACGCAGCCTCCGCCGTCCCCGCCTCTATGTTGACCTTCCGCAATATCTGCTACTCCGTCTTTGTCAAGCAGCGCAAGGGGGAACCTTCCGCTGCCGGCCCGCAATTCGCGCGGCAGGACAGCCCTCTCGCGAATTTCGCCGGATTGCCGCCTCAGCCGGGCATTCAAGAGCCGCCGATTTCTGCGGCCGCGGCGCAAGCGGATGGCGGTGCAACTGGCGGCGGCCGAATCCCCGAAGGATTCCGGCGAAAGCGCGTTCGGCGGCAGATCCTGACCGGCGTTAACGGCGAGGCGCGGTCGGGGGAGGTGACGGCGATCATGGGCGCAAGTGGAGGCGGAAAAACGACGCTGCTGAACATCCTGGCGCAGCGAATCTCGTCGACGCGGCAGAAGGGGACGGTGGAGCTGGATGGTGCGGAAGTGCACGCGGGGACGATGCGGCGCGTTTCCGCGTACGTGATGCAGGACGACGTACTGTTTTCGTCGCTCACGGAGCGCGAGACGCTCATGTACGCCGCCGAGTTGCGCCTCGAGCCGCGATTCTCGCGACGCGAGGAGGAAAAAGTCACCCGGCTGATTGACATGCTCGGGCTGGTGAAAGTGGAGAACTCGCCGATCGGTGGGGAGACACTTGTAAAACAGAGTAGCGTTGACTACTGGAGGGCTGGAAACTTGGCTGGAAAGTCTTAGCAGGGCTGCTGGAATTGACTGGATGAGGTAAAACTTCACTATGTTCAAGATTAACAAGCCCACTAAAGCACAACTCTATAGGCATCACAAACAAGACAGGTTGAAAGCTCAAACTAGGTTGATAGACAATGTAACTTCCCTGGTAACTTGGGCACAATCTAGATTGTATGGACCTTGAGTGACTTTGAGTGCCACATGAGGTGCATGAATAAGAAAACTATGGATATTTCTGTTATAGCTGATTCAGATGTGTAGAAACCTGTAGAAACTGCCAACACTTCGGTTTGAAGGCAGCTTTGAACTGTATCGAGTCTTTGGCTGAAATCTGATTGGTGGTGGAACTTTCGAAGTACTTCCCGAAGCCTCTGATTCATCGCCGACATTCCCCCTTGCTGTTGCTTGTGTGCAAAGGGTTGGGGCGGCAGAAACTCGATTCTCCAACACTCCCCCTCGCACCAGACCCGAAGCACACATACACCCATGCTGATGCTCCTTTCACATCTCCTTAGCATACACTTCATGCTGCTGCCCACGTCTCTTCCCCTCACACTCCTCATTCTCCTCAAACTGCTCCACTACTTCATGAAGTGTCATGAGGCCTGCTCTTGCCTTGCACATGTTGAATGCATCATGTGGAAGAACCTTGGTCATGAAATCTGATGCTTGATCGAATGAACGGCAAAAGTTGACGGCGAGAACTCCCTTCTCTAGTTGCTCACGAATGAAGTGGTACAGCACCTCGATGTGTTTTGTACGCCTATGATGAACCGGGTTCTTGGAAAGAGCTATGGCTGAAGTGTTGTCCACGTAGAGCGGAGTTGGTTGAGTTTGCGGCTGCCTCAAGTCCTCCAAGAGTCCACGTAACTAGATTGCCTCCCTTGCTCCTTCGGACATTGCCATGTACTCAGCTTCGATTGTTGAAAGTGCCACACAACTTTGCTTGCGCGATTGCCAAGAAACATCGGCACCACACATGAGGAAGATGTAGACGCCGGTAGACTTGCGTTTGCTCAATTCTCCCGCCCAATCTGCATCGGTAAAGCCTTGGAGGGAGCTTGCATATTGGCTGGCTTGGAAGAGAAGACCATGATTAGAAGTACCTTTGAGATACCGAAGAGCTCGCTTGGCTGCATGCATATGAATAGGTGAAGGGGCACTCATGTATTGAGCTAGCTTAGATACCGTGAATGCTAAGTCGGGCCTTGTGCATAGGGCTGCATACATGAGACACCCAACCTGACTTTGGTAGAGAGCTATGTCTTGTGGGGATACCTTAAGTGAATTCTCACCATGATGCTCACTCTCCTCAAGACACAAATCCTTAATACCTATGATATCAAGGCTTGACTCTCTCTCTTCATAGGGCTGATGTGAAGACGAAGGGACAAAGTTGGAAGGAAGTGGGGTAGGTGATGGCTTGCTATCATCAAGACCAAACCTCTCAAGGACCTTTTGGATGTACCTTTGCTGGAATAGAAAGATGGACCGTGACTTACGATCTCTCACAATGTTCATACCAAGATAATGACTCGGCTCACCAAGATCGGTCATCGTGAATGCACTTGTGAGAATACCTTTCACCTTGTTGAGAAGATCAAGAGAACCTGAGACTAGGAGGAGGTCATCGACATATACCAAGAGCCAAATGTACTCCCCCTCACTCGTGTGCATGAAGTACAGAGCGTTGTCTCTCATAGACCTTGTGAAACCATGCTTGAAAAGTACCTGCTCAAGAGCATGATACCAAACCTGTGGGGACTGTTTGAGACCATAAAGGGACTTTACCAAGCGACACACTCGACCCGTACCGTCATCATAACCTTCGGGTTGTGCCATGTATACCTCTTCTTCCAAGACACCGTAGAGAAATGCGTTCTTGACATCCATTTGATGGATATGGAGACCAAGATATGCGGCTATGGCAAGGAGGACTCGTACCGTGGTGTACTTTGCTACCGCGGCAAAGGTTTCGGTGAAGTCAAGACCTGGAATTTGGGAATAACCTTTTGCCACTAACCTTGCCTTGTAACTATTGAGGCTACCATCACCTTTTACCTTGATCTTGTACACCCATTTGACACCAATTACCTTCTTCCCTGGAGGTGGCTCAACAAGACGCCATATACCTCGCTTCACGAGACTCTCAATCTCTTCTTTCTCGGCTTTCAACCAATGCTCTCTCTCGGGACTTGCCATTGCCTCACGACGACTCAAGGGCTCTCGCGGAAGGTGTGATGCTGCCATGCATATTGCCTCTACCTTCTTGTGAATGCAATTCTTACTCTCCTCACATGTGCACCTTGATGACATGTCAACCATGAAAGTGAAGGGCTTTTTTACCTTGCGGACTCGTTTACCTTTACCAAACTCCTCACTTGGCTGAGACACATTAGTGGTAGGGTTCGGTCTCACAGTGTTTGATTGCGTTGATGCGGTCATTTGCGGCTGAGACAACGGCTGCGACATCGGCTGCGACGGCGGCACGGCTGCTTGTTCTTCTCCTGGCGTGGAAATATATTGATTATCGGTGTTGACTTGAGGATTAGGTATGGTGACTCGTGGCGGTGAAGCTGAAACGTTTGTCGGCATAGTTGGTTGTGAAGATGCTCTTGGTGGGGATCTTGAGACTAGAAGCTTGGGAATTGATGATGACGCTGCCTTGTCGAGAGGTGGTGATGGTTGGGGCTGGTTGGTGTTGTTGCTCGGTGTTGAAGATGGTGGTAACTGATGACGACCGAATCCGGGACGTGGGGGTGAAGTTGAGAAAGGTCTTGGGTGAAGAAGTGGACTGTTGGAGCTGGTGTTGGTGGTGACTCACTAAAGTGATCCTCGTGCTATGAGCTGGCTTGACGTTGGAACAAGTGATGAACGTGTGGTATGAGAACGAGGTGTTGCGGTGACGCTTGACTTGTTGCTAGGAAGAGTGGTAGATGGTGTTGATGTAGGTACTTGGGGTCTTGTAGTTGTTGATTTCTGCTGCATGGGATGATGATGAGCTTCTGTAGTTGCCTCTAGAGTGATGGCTGGTGATGGGTTTGATGGCGTAGTGGTGGGCTGATCCGGTTGGCGTTGAAATTGTGAGGTTGGTGTTGATATAGCTGGCTGGTTTGTGACTGCTGGCTGCTGCTCCTTTGGTGGTGATGGAACGGTGACTTGCTGCGGTGGATTGTCTTCATTTGATGGCTGAACTTCATCTCCACTTGGTTGAGTAGCTGCTGGTGGCACTGGCGTGGCACGGCTGGACTCGTTGATGACGGCTTGAGGGAGATCGATGATCGGTCCGCTATGGTCAGAATCGGTGTCATCTTCTTCCTCCTCTTGTGTTGTTTCCTCAGGTGCACTTGCTGGTTCCTGTTGGATAGAGGGTAGAGAGGAGGAAGAGAAAAACTTATGCGAACCTGCAAGGGACATGTCTTCATAGAAGACAACATCCCTTGAAACCACTTCTCGCTTGGTGACAGGATCCCAAAGGACCCATCCCTTGCTCTCATTGCTCATGCCGATGAAGAGGCCCCAATGAGCTTTGCTGCCCAGCTTGAGTCTCTTTGCATCTGGAACACGGTATTGGACCATGGAACCAAAAACACGAAGCATAGACAGATCTGGTTTAACTCCAAACCAAGCCTCATGTGGTGTTACACTATCCGGTAAGGGCCTTGTGGGTCTCCTGTTGCGAACATAAATTGCCATAGTAATTGCCTCACCCCACCAAAGCTTGTCAAGGCCTTTGAACTGAAGGAAAGTGGTAGCTATAGCCTGGATAGTGCGATGAAACCTCTCTGCCACTCCATTTTGCTGAGGACTATAGGGACAAGTGAACTGTTGTTTGATGCCCAATGCCAACAACTCCTCCTGAAACGCTTTCCCCATGTACTCACCTCCTCGATCCGACCTCAAGGTGAGTAACTTCTTCCCTGACTCTCTCTCAACAAGTGCTAGCCATTGCTTAGAACACTTGTGAACTTCATCCTTGGTGTTGATGAAAAAGGACCACGAGAAACGACTCTTGTCATCAATGAAAGAAACCAAATATCTCTTACCGTTTCGAGTAGGGTCTCACATGGGGCCGAAGACATCAGTGTGGACCAACTCTAGGAGGTCCCTTGACTGTGACTTAAAAGGGAAGAATGGCTTTCTAGCTAGCTTACCTTCCACACAAGATGGACATGGAACGGAAGAAAGGGACGTGACTGCACTTTCACTCAAACTCAATCCTTCCACGCTCTTGTGATTTACCAACTCTTTCAATGCTTGCACTCCCACGTGCCCCAAGCGTGCATGCCATACCTCAGCTTGGGAGATACTCCCTTTGTTGTTGACTTGATCGGTTGAAACAGCGGGAAGCGAGACAACGTCGTTCTTCGTGTTGCTAGCACCGCGCTTAATCTCCAACTTCATCTTGTAGAGCCGCCTGATACGCTCGCCTTCAGCCACCAGATTTCCTACACTGTCCCACACTTTGGCTTTCCCCCCTTGCAAGAGAACGGAGGCACCTTTCTCTTCGAGTTGTCCAGCTGAGAGCAAGTTTGCTCCCAAATCAGGAACAAACAAAGCTTTATTGACACAAAATGACTTACCATCCTTTTCGAACTCAAGCTTGCCGACTCCTTTGATTGGTACTTTGCCGAGATCAGCAAGAGTCACAACTTTTGAGTCATATGAGGGCTGAAAATCCTTGAGAATGGATTGATAGGGAGTCATGGTTTTAGAGCAGCCGCTATCAAGAATAAACTCCTCACTACTAGTAGAGAAAACGTGCATGCAAGTAGCACCGTTAAAAAGGACAGGACCATCGGACTCTTTGGACTCATCTTGACTTGTAGAATGACTTGCTATATTTGCTATGGCTGCCTTACCTTTTTCAGATAGTAGCTGAGGTGGAGGGACCCAATTAGGAGGCTTCTTAGGACAAGCATACCACGGGTGACCCCACTCATGACAACAAAAACACTCAAAATTAAACCTTTTTAGCATTCGGGGCTTGGCTGAAATTATTGACTCTTGGCGTATTGACTCTTGCATTCCTGGGCTGGTATTGATTGGGAATCGAAGGCCTTGGCTGGACATAGGGACTGGACTTATAGGGAGGACTTGACTGAGGAAAACGAGAGGGTTTGTATGGGTTGGAAGGTGACTGAAATTTCGTACCGTAGTAGGGTTGAGGGCGGTTTGGGCTGAAATTTCCTTGCCTCTGGATTTGGTTGCCATATCTTGTGGCTGCTGCAGCACTCCACGCACCTTCGTCACTCCGCTTGTTCCGTGCAAGGTCTTGACTCTGCTGCTCGTTGACAAGGGCCTCAAAGATGAACGCACGACTCTTCATTGACTGCGGGAGCGCTTGTAGTGTTGCACGGAAAATGTCCCACTCCGGTGTAAGGCCGGTGAGGATGACAGTCTTGAAAAGAGACTCTGGAATCTCCAAGCCGATCGCTGCTGCTTCCTCCAACATTGCTTTGGCTTGTTGTAGGTAGGCTTGTGCTGATTCATCTTCTTCCATCTTCAGATTCATGAAGCGGCTCCACATCTCGGCTTGGCTGCTCTCGGATTTTGACTGGTGCATGGTCTTCAGTTGGCTCCATGCTTCCTCTGCACTATTTGCCTTGGTAGAACACGGGAGGAGCGACTTCAACTGCTGCTCGTGAATGCTATTGAGTAGGTAGAGGAAGGCCTCCTTGTTGCGTCATTCGTCAAGTCATTTTTCAGATTCTAAAGCATCTGCTGCTGGTTTGGCTGCTTCTCCAGTGTAGTAAGGCCACAGATCCAAAAGGGTTGCAGTGAGCTCAAACTGAGTTGCCCATGTTGGAAAATCTTTGCCGTTGAACTTGGGGAGGTGAAGCTTAGGCATGAAGGAGGTGAGTGGTGAGTATGTTGTTGAAGGACTGCCTGGTGCAACTGCTTCCACTAATCCAGTAGCTGCTGATGTTGACTCTGAAGCTCCTCCGGCTGGCTGGAGTGCAGGACCAGATGGATTGTCTCCCGCCATGTTCGTATGATGCTAGGATAGGAACGTGGTGGGCTAGGTTGATCGAAACGACGAGCTCTGATACCAACTTGTAAAACAGAGTAGCTGTGACTACTAGAGGGCTGGAAACTTGGCTGGAAAGTCTTAGCAGGGCTGCTGGAATTGACTGGATGAGGTAAAACTTCACTATGTTCAAGATTAACAAGCCCACTAAAGCACAACTCTATAGGCATCACAAACAAGACAGGTTGAAAGCTCAAACTAGGCTGATAGACAATGTAACTTCCCTGGTAACTTGGGCACAATCTAGATTGTATGGACCTTGAGTGACTTTGAGTGCCACATGAGGTGCATGAATAAGAAAACTATGGATATTTCTGTTATAGCTGATTCTGATGTGTAGAAACCTGTAGAAGCTGCCAGCACTTCGGTTTGAAGGCAGCTTTGAACTGTATCGAGTCTTACGCCCAAGCCTGCCGAGAAGGCGTGGCCGACCCTGTGGCGGCGGCTCGGAAACCGTTGGATGCTCCACATGATACGGTTGATCCAAAGTTTTCCAAGGAAATGTCTGCCTGGGGACGGGTGGGGAATGAGGACGAGGTTAAGGGCAGGGAGTTTGCAAACGGGTGGTTCCGGGAGCTGTGGGTGCTGACGAGGAGGGCCACAACAAACATCATGCGCACTCCTGCACTCTACCTGCTGAGGCTGGCGCTCATCCTTATCGCGGGTCTTCTTCTGTCGATTCTGTTCTGGAGGCCAGCGGAAACGTGAGTAGAAATACTAAGGTACCTGGGTAAATTTGGTGCTGGCCTGTGGGCTGTTGGGCATAAGAGTGGAGAATAACGAGTGAGGGACAAAGCACCTGAGATATTTCCTCCTATTTTTTTCAATCCCGGTTTTGCCATTGATGGTTTTGCAGGCCTGAGGGACTTATCATTCGGCTGTCATTCCTGTCATGCGCTTGCTGTATTGTTTTCTTCACCTCCTGTGACGCGGTTCCGATATTTATAGAGGTATTATCGATTACTCGGGTCTATTTTCCAAGGGGCGAGAATGTGCCTTTCATTCGGTCTTGATACTTGCAGTGTCTTCTATGCTCTTACCACATTTTAACGATGTTCTAAAAAGCCATATCTTGGGACTAAGATACATGCACTTTGAGGTAATGCGGATACGTTACAATTGGTGTTGCATTCTTTAACGGGCTGTTTGACTTGTCCTCTAACGAGATTTTATCTGTTCTGTGCTCATTGATATGTGTTCCAAGTACATCCCTTCACTAGCATTGCATCCTCCTTGCTCACTCCAACCCCCTTCCACCCTGCTGCACCACACAGGAATCCGCAATATTCGTGAGAGAGTCAGCCAATAACGCATATAGGCCGTCCACCTACCTCGTGTCGTCAACCCTGGTGTACCTTCCACTACACTTCCTCATGGCCTTGCTGCTCACCGCCGTCTCCTGGTGGAGCATCAGCCTTGCGGGTGGCGACGAGGGTTTTCTGTTTATGGTGGTGGCGTTTTTTGTCATGCTCTCCGCAGCCAACGCCATCGCAACATGTGTCAGCATATGCGTCAAAGAGTGAGTGGCTGGATTTGTGAAACATTTGGTTCCTCATAACTTCTTTGCTGGGCTGCCTTATTGTCATAGGCATTGCATTTGCCAAAGACTCATACAACACGAACATAACAAATGAGAGGAAAAAAAGGGAAAATAGCTGCAATCGTTTCTCTCTCATTTGCCCTCCCACATTTCCTCTGTATCAAACAGCTTTAGGACGCATGAATTCTACTCACATTCTAGCTATATGCAATTTCCTCTCTCCCCTTATCATTTCCATTTTCCTATCCAGCATGGTACATTTCTTTTTCACCAATCATATCCTTCCGTTCTGTGTTGTTCATATTTCCCCCCACCACCATCCCCCTACCTTGCAGTGTTGTCCTAGCATATGCAACCGCCATTGCAATAATGTCCTACTTCTACCTCGTTAGTGGCTACTACGTTACAAGGAAGCAAATGACCATGGCGCTTATATCGCTACACTACATCTCACCCTTCAAATACGCTTATGAAGCTCTCGCTATCGATCAATTTGACAGGTGAGTGCAGCCTACTCCCTTCTCCCTCCCGCTTTACTCTCTTAACGCTCTCCCACAACTCCCCTCGCTTACTCTCAGTAACTCGAGCTGGGTTACATTTCACTCCAATCATTTATGCTTCCAGGTATTATTATTCAGTCCCTGTTATTCCTCCGCTCTCCTTACTGTCTCTCTCTTCTGTCCCATCCCATCTCTGCTCTCTCGTCTCATCTCTTCTCAACTATCCCAACTCTTCCCTCTCATTCTGTCTATCCTCTCTCTCGTCCCACCTCTCCTCTCCCTCATCCCACCTCCCCTCTCTCTCATCCCTCCTCTCCTCTCTCTCATCCCACCTCTCCTCTCTCTCATCCTATCTCTCCTCTTTCATCCATCTCCCCTCCCTCTCATCCCATTTCTCCTCTCTCTTCCCATCTCACCTCTCATCCCATCTCTTCCCTCCCATCCCATCATCCCTCCTCTCTCATCCCACGTCATCACTCCCAGGCCGAGCCCCTGCTACCTGAATGTCACTAACTCTTTCCAGAACCTTCTCGAAAACACCCCCACCAAACCCACTTTACTCTCTCACTCACTGGGTATCCCTCCAAGCCCACCCGGAGGCTCTCCATATCCAACCCCATCGCAGCTGCATAGCCAGCTCCTTTCCACCACACTCTTCACAAACCCGCTTCATGAGTTAGCTCTTAGCAGGTTGTCCCCTGAGATGAGGGCAACGGTGGAGAGAGGTGGGGGGGGTGCAGGAGGATGCTTGCTGACAGGCCCGCAGCTGCTGGTGAACCGAGCGTTGGACCAGCTGGGCAAGTGGGAGTGCCTGGCTGTGCTGCTCGCAATTGGGCTGGCAGTGAAGTTCATTACCTTGCTGCTGCTCGTGAGGCTTCGGCGAGCCAAGCAGAAATAGAGTATGTGGATATTGGTGTAAAGGATGGTTGGAACCATAGTACCGAACGCCTTTGCCATTGCAAAAGTTCTGGAAATGCAGTTCACGTGGAAAGGTGAGGTGGGGTGAAAATGCACAACTGTTTGTTGTAATATGCGGTGTTTTGTATCAATGGCTGCTACCATTTCGGATTAGTGTTTTGTATCAATGCTATATCTTAGGGAGTTTGCGCAAGGTGAAGCATGGTGTAAAGGCTCCCGATAGCTTCTCTTCTCTGTTTATTTCGGTGTGCTTTTGAGTGTCCGGTATGCTTAATAGACCTAGGTTGGTTTTGGTGATTTCGTATTTTTCATATCCCACGATTCCATATGTTTTTGGATGTTAACTCCTGATTTGGAATGCCTTATCATACCGTATTTGCTTCAGTAATAATGAGTTATATTGATTTGCCAATCACAATGCCTTGGCTGGTGTCCTTCAAATCAAACCTCGTATATTGCACTTCACCGTCTTCAATTCCTAATCCCCCTCGCCACAACCAGGGTCCTCGCTAGCAGACATTTCTTGTCAGAATAGTAGCTAGTGGAGACTAGGGTTTGTGAGAGAGAGTTGGCCAAAGAGGGTTGCACTATAGGATGAGGGAACAATGTATAGGACAGGGGAGGTGGTGAAGGGAGGTAGACCACCTAAGAGAAGATGGGTGATACTACACTAACTAAACATGCAATTTTATAAGAGTATTACATTCTGACATCCCCCCTTAATTGCATGCCAGTGTAGCCAGTGAAGAAGCTCATCTCGAAGGGCAAGCAACACCGTGCCGCAGCTAGGCCCACCGCCAGGTACGGTGGAATGCCTGCCTGCGGTTTAACCCCTGCAGTGGATGCCCGGTGTGTGCGCGCGACGAGGAATGACGGCGCCCAGAAACGACGGATAGAGAATAGACAAGGAGAAACCAGAAAATGCAAACCTCTCTCTCTCTCTCTCTCTCTCTCTCTCTCTCTCTCTCTCTCTCTCTCTCTCTCTCTCTCTCTCTCTCTCTCTCTCTCTCTCTCTCTCTCAAGCACTCCTTCATTGAAGTATAGGGGGTTACATGCATGGCAGGAGGATTATTCGGGGACTATCTAGATCTACAATGCAAGCAGCAGTGAGGCTAGCAAAGCAAGCTAGAGCAACATAGCTAGAGCATCCAAAACTGCCATGGCCCATATAGCCCACATGAGGACCCCTGTTCGTTTCTTGCAGCCCGGCCTGCATCAAGCTACACAAGCCCACACTCAGGTCCGCCTACCCCCTTCCCTCCAACTCAAGCCGCCTAGCCACCTACCCCATCCTCCAGCACCTGCCACATATCTCCCAGCCGTGGCTCCCATGGGTCCATGGGTGCCTGTGGGGAGGAAGCCTCTGCAGCACGGTTTGACTTAGTGAGGAGGCCCGTCGCCTGGCACCGTTGCATCATCACGGAGAAGCGCTGGCGGTAGTGGGCGTTGAGTCTTGCCGCCACCATGGTCTGAGGACCATGGCGGAAGCCTCGCTTAGCAGCGTTTGTGGCAAGCAACCTGAAGAACTTGACCGTATCCGCTGCTAGTGCCCCGTAGGTCTCTACTACCAAGCCGAGGAACCCCACACATGAAGGCCTCTCCTCATAGAGCTTGAGCTTGCCAATGCATGCCTCCTCAGCCGCCCACCCCGGTGCCCTTGTTGCCTCAAGATCCCGCCGCTGCAGCACGGGGTCTATCGCGGTGACGTCGGTCACCCAAGTCTCTACCGTTTCAGGATCCCGGATAGCCAGGTCTGCCCGCTTCCTATCCACCGGTGGTGTGTAAACTGTCCTCTCATGCAAGGTCATATACTTTGCCTCTTTCGCCATGCGCAGGCACGCATAGACCAGTGCGTCGTGCGTCCTTGTCCGGTCCCCACCCTCGCTGCATCACAGTAGGTGATTGGGTAGGCTTTTATCGGCAGTGGTGGACCGTTCTCGGTTGCACGGGCACTGATCTGTAACGGGCAGCGTGAGGCCTAGGCGCAATACTAGCGCTAGAGAGAATTGCCCGGAAGCTAACGTGAGATCTGCCTGGGTCGGTACTGCATTGAGCCAGTCCCCGGCGCCTATTCCTTGTAGGCTCAGTAGGCGCAATGGGTGACCATTGTCCACACCAGGTCTGTCAATTCTGGTGTCTGCAATCAGCTCCGCCGCTCTGGCCCTGTTGATGTGGTTAGAGAGCAGCTGCTGCAGGTTCTGCTTTGTGTTCATTTGGGTTCTGGAGTCCCCCAGCACCAATCTTGCTTCCTCAGGCAGTCGGGCTTCTAGCTCCGCCAATGTCGTTCGCTCCTCACCCGCGGTAGTGGGATCTGGTGAGAGTAGTGTGGCGACTCCGGCGAGGGTATGGTCCCGCGGTGTGTTGAGCTGCTGCAGTAGGAGCTGTGCCACAGTGACAGATGATAGGTAGGCTGCTGGCGCCTCTGAGATCGGATCAATGAGCCCCAGGCCCCCCAATCTGACCGGCAGGGTGGCTTGCCGCCAAGTCAGGCTGTGTTCCAGCTCATCCGTCGGGACGTGCATCTTAGCCGCATCCAGGGAAGTCCGCAAGAGGCTTTCGCTCTAGCTACGCCAGTCGTCCAGGGGTAGGAGTTGCGCTGGGGTTGTACGCAGGAGGTAAGAGATTCTTCTAGAAATGCAGCGGGAGAGGAGGAGGAGCGCGTGTTGGGGGTGGAGCTGCCCGATTAGGTCACACGATGAAGCCGCCTCCGTCAAGCTGTCTCGTAGGAACTCTGCGCAGAACTCTGGTGTCCCTATCGGGCTCCCAAGCACCCTTATGCCACCCATTTCCGCCGTGATTCCGTCAGGGAGTTCTGTTTCTCCATCGCCTATGCCCGGCCCCCATGCCTTTGACTTGGAGTAGTTGCAGCGGAGCCCACACCGCTACAAGCCACTGGCGAGGAGATCGAACGCTCTCCCTGCCGCCTCCTGAGGTGCCACCAGCGTTATGCCATCCGCGATTGCGACTTCGGTGAACGCCATGTCGACATGGAGCAGGACGGGTTGTATAGCAGGTGCAAACAAAAGCGGGCCAAGGGGATCACCCTAACGAACTCCCCTTGTGCTCATGACCACCTCCTCGCCGAATGCCACATCCAGAAGTAACGTGGACGGGCCGTCGTACAGGCTACGAACCAGTGGGATGAGCGGGTTCAACTCCGACCATTGAAGCGAGTTCATGAAAGATGCCCTCTCCACGCTATTGAACGCATTTTCCATGTCAAACTGGATGGCGATTTTGGAACTGTCGTCTTCTAGTAACGCCCTAACCGAGTGGATTATGCATTCCACGCCGCCCTGTACCGCTACGCCAAACTGTACTAGAAGGAAATAACTGTTGATTGACGGGCCCAGTTCGCGTAGTGCCGCCTTAGCCGCTATGCGAATGATAGTCTCTCCAATCGCCATGGGACAGACTCTGCCGCCTGGCTTCTCAAGGGCTATCAAACGGGAGGGGAGGAGTATGTCCCTGACTGGCTGTGGGACGAAGTTGCCGAGCAGGTGGTTCACAACTCCCCTAAGTAGCGTAAGGATTTCCTTGTTGCCAAGGGCGGAGTCACGGAAATGTTCGAAGCAGGTTCCCGATGGACCTGCACCAGCCCCACTGGGGCACTTAGCAAAAAGGTTGCGCAGGTTTTCCTGGCTGACGGAAAATTCCGAAGTCAGCTCTCCTGCCACCCAGTACGGTAGGGGTGACATCGCCTCTGGGTGTTTCGCCCGCAGAGCTGCGATAGTCTCTGACGTCGCTTTCACCAATGCTGTTGTCTGTAACGCGGCTACCGCTTTGGAGAGGTTGCCTTTCCGGACCAGTCCCTCCGCCCTGGCACAAAGCCCTGTGGCATCGGATTGGTGCATGACTGGATCCTGGTTCGGGGGAATGGTAATGGCCTCGGCGTAAAGGTTTTCCCATTCCCCTAGCCTGAATTTGTGTAGTCGCGCTTCGATTTCGGCCCATCTGTTGCCAAGCGTTTCCTGGGGTTGAGGGTGTAATGTCAGCCGTGGTAAGAAGCACAGCACTCGCCATGCACCAGGACAGTTTGGATTTTTTGCGAGTCGAAGTAGTGGAGTGAGAAGGCACAACGAGTAGTTGGTAAGCATATCAGGAGGCAGTCTTCTGGCGACAAATGGCTGGTCGCCTCGTGTCAGCTTGCCAATATCCCAGCTATCTGTTGCAGTCCATAAGTTTTCCATATCCGTCAGCTCTCCCGGGGAGCGGACGTCCTGTGCCCTGTTGTCCGCCCCATTTGCCACGTCGTCCTCAGGAGGTGCTTGGGCCGCTACCCCCCTTGCCGTTGGATGTCGGGCTTGAAGATTGCGTATGCCACGTCGTCCCTCCTCACCCTCTTCGGCGACCGAGATCTCTCCCGATGAGGGTGTGGCTGATGCCATAAAGGGGGCATCATCGGACGAATGGTCAGCATCATCCTCTCCCCCCTCTCCCCCAACAACGGTTGGGATTTCCCGACCGTGCCTTGCCCGCCAAGGACCCATCCTTGTCGGCTCTGGTGGCGCACGTTGTCGCGTTATTAACACTTAGCTGGCAACTAAGTGTAAATATCACAGCAACCAAGGTGAGGGTGTACTATAGTTTACCGCTTTTGTACTCTAATTTCATTTGTGTGCTTGGAGTGTATTGTATTGTACTGCAGAGCCGAGTAGCTGGGGAATTGGAGGTGGTTAGTGGGAGGCGAATTCAAGGAGGTTGGTGGAGACGAATTCAATTCCAGCCTGTGAATTCAATTTCGAAGTCACCAGGCTGGAAGGCGAATTCAATGCCAGCCTGGGAATTGAATTCGAAGTCACCAGGCTGGAAGGCAGTGCATGCCTAGTGGGCCCAGTGGGAACACAGCTAGCACCTTGGAGACCTCGCGAGCAGCCCGGCTGACTCGCTTGGTGAACAGGAGCTTGCTTGTGGAGGAAGCAACCTAGGCAGGGGGTGGGGATAGATGTAGGCAGGAGTAGCACTCGGGCTTCTTGCTTTTTGCTTGTATGTTTCTCATTTACTGCAATTTGTTTTCCTAATCCAGAGGGAACTAGCAGTAGGAGAAGCTATAAGCAATTTGACGGAGCCCTTAAGGGGGAGTGTTACGCTTGCTACAGGAGAAGCCTGAGGGGAAGCCTGAGGTACCAGGAGGAGTGCAGAACAGAGTGTTTACATACGCCAGGAGGAAGAAGGGATGAACCTGATCAGTAGTACGGGTGGCAGGGAAGGAAGGAGAGAAGGAGAAGTCAGCAGGATACACAGGGGAGAAAGGGAATGAGGGTGGACAGAGGAAGATTCACGACAACGTGCTCTAACTCCGCGTCCCCTCCTCCCTCTTACCGCCGCCCCACCGTTCCCCACCGCACGCCCAGCAGGGCGCCACGGAGTGGCCGGGGCCACCCAACGAGCTCTCGCCGCATAACGTGTCGCACGTCGCGCTATCGGAGGCGCATTCGGCGCCGGTTCTTCCGCCTCCTGTCGCAACTGACGTTTTCTGCGTTGCTGTCTCTGTGTTGTTGCTGTATCCGCGACATTCACTCCTTCTTCGGTCGGCAATGGGGGCTGGAGCTTTGGTTCTTGTGGTGTCTGCCCTTGCTGATGCCATCCCCGGAGGGGCCCCGGGTGGGCAGGTGCCAGCGCTGCTCCGAGTCGCCGCGGCGCTGGCTGAAGGCGGGCTCGACCGTGAACGCGACCCGCATTGCCGCCGTCGTTCCCCTGTGTACCGCTCCCCCGGCGCCCATGCCCACCCCTTCCGCCGATCCTATCGCTCCCCTCCACGAGGAGGACTCGGGGACCCGAACATGTTGCGTCGTCGACAGAGGCAGCAGGAGAGACTGAACCGTTGGCAGAAGTGGCAGCTCCAGCAGCAGCCTCCCCCTGTGCAGGCTCCGCGTCCACCGTTGGTGCTTGCGTCATCTCCCGCGCCTCCTGGGTTGCTGTCAGTGGTGTCGCAGCAACCGCATCCCCCTCTTCCAACGCCTCTCCCTTTCGGCGAGTCTTAGACGCTGCAGCCGCGGCCTCGGCTTCCTCCGCAGACTCCTCCGCCTGCCTCTCATCCTGCCGGTGTGGCGCCGCCACCGCCGCCACCGTCGTATGCCTCTGCTCCTGTGAGCCGTGAGGCTGTGGTTCCCGCCGTGCCTGCACCCGCCCCCAGACGAGCGTTGGAGCCGGTGGGGAGAGTGCACGCCTGTTGAGCGTTTGCTTGACGTTGAGCTGCGCGTAATGACCGTGGCGATGTGCCTGGACCATTTGGCGGAAGTCCTCGGCCAGCTGCATTCTTGCATGATGTGTCACGGTTTGGAGTGTCCGAGGCTTTCTCAGCAGGAGACCAAGTCTGCCGTGGCAGCCGTGACGGAGATCATGCGATCGCTCCCACACATGGTCCTGGAGTTGGGAGCACCTAGTGTTGCCTCTAGACCGGGGCCTGCCGCGTTACGTCGCCTTGTGTCCTCCGCTTCGCGGTCACCTCTCGACCTCGTGCCGGCCGTTGCTTCTGTGCTACGTTGGATGGACGGGCGGCTTGTTTGGATACTCGCCGAATAGCCTGTGCTCTCCCTTTGGCCACCACCTTCTGGCGTGGTTTGGCTCTGGGCTTCCCCATGGCGGTGTAGTCACGCCCAAGGGTGTTGTAGTTGCTGTTGTTCCTTTACTTCTGCATGTTGTAGTGCTCCATATTGGTCCCTGTGTTCTTTTGATCTTGTCACCCCTAACGCGCGGCCGAAGGCCGCGCTGTCGAGCGTCGGCCGCCGAAGGTGGCCGGCGCGAGCCGCTGGGTTAGGAGAAGGAATGCAGATAACAGAATGAAGAATGAACCCCACACCTAGGTCCTAGGGCCTATATACTAAGCTAGGAAGGGCTGGAGAGACTAAGGACTAGATCCTAAGCCTCTCTCTCTCTCTCTCTCTCTCTCTCTCTCTCTCTCTCTCTCTCTCTCTCTCTCTCTCTCTCTCTCTCTCTCTCTCTCTCAATCTCTCTCTCTCTCTCTCTCTCTCTCTCTCTCTCTCTCTCTCTCTCTCTCTCTCTCTCTCTCTCTCTCTCTCTCTCTCTCTCTCTCTCTCTCTCTCTCGCCCTCTCTCGCGAGCCGCTGGGTTAGGAGAAGGAATGCAGAGAACAGAATGAAGAATGAACCCCACACCTAGGTTCTAGGGCCTATATACTAAGCTAGGAAGGGCTGGAGAGACTAAGGACTAGATCCTAAGCCTCTCTCTCTCTCTCTCTCTCTCTCTCTCTCTCTCTCTCTCTCTCTCTCTCTCTCTCTCTCTCTCTCTCTCTCTCTCTCTCATCCCCCCTTAACCTCTCTCATCCCCCCTTAACCTCTCTCCTCCCCCCCCCCCCCCCCCCCTCTACAGCAACCAGTGCTGCAGGAAGAGAGGAAGAGGGAAGGGAGGGACGGGTTGTTGGCGGTTCACACCCGTCACCCCCACATCTCCCCCTCCTCCCTCCCCACGATGGAAGCCGCGGAAGGGAGGGAGGGTGGGGGGGCGGCGTTAGCTGCTGCTGGCGCTCCATTGGCACCTGGCGCTGGCGCTGATCGCAGGTGCTGGCGCTGGCGGTCCGCGCTGGCGCTGGCGCTCGCGGCTGGTCGTTGCGCTGGCGCGCGCGCCACTGGCGCTCGTCAGTGGCGTCCGCGCAGGCGCCGACATTGGTCGTAGGGGCAGGCGCTGGCGCTCGTCACTGGCGGATCGCGGGGCGACGGGAAGGTTGAGCTGCGGTCGACGGGAAGGGGGGCCCCACGGTCGACGGGAACCAGGGCGCTGCGGCGACGGGAAGCGGGGCACTGTGGTGGCGGAACGCGTGGCGCCGCGGCGATGAGAATCAGGGGCGCCGCGGCGACGGAAATCGGGACGGGGAGGCGCTTTGGGCGCGACCGGGCAGAGCGCGACGAGCACGACGGAAATAGGGACGCGCAGGCACCTCGGGCGCGACCAGCGACGATATAAAAGTAGCGCATTTCGCGCTCTAGTACGGGTGGGCCCATGTTCCGTGAAGAAAAAGGTAGGTCCTTAGACCGTTTTACTGCTTTGTACCATGTCAGAATAGTAGCTAGTGGAGACTAGGGTTTGTGAGAGAGAGTTGGCCAAAGAAGGTTGCACTATAGGATTAGGGAACAATGTGTAGGACAGGGGAGGTGATGAAGGGAGGTAGACCACCTAAGAGAAGATGGGTGATACTACACTAACTAACTAAACATGCAATTGTATAAGAATATTACATTTTCACATTTCTGTCTGTTCTTCTGAGATTTCAGACAGTTTTTTGGGCTTTTATACGGGCCATCATAAAACATTTCGGAGTTATCACGAGCAGTCACGGCGCTATCACGAACGATCACTTATTCCGCCAAATCTATCACGAATCATCACAAGGGTATCACCCGCCGTCACTCAAAAGAACTAAATTCTATCACGGGTAGTCACACTCGAGATTTTGCTATTACAGATGAACCCTCTCATCATTTCGGTGACCCCCTTTGTAACACTGTACAAATTTAGGGACTATATAGTACAGTACTTCCCAAATTTTGAAATGCACCGTGGATGCCGGCGATCATAAGCTCTTCCGCGAAAAAGGTGTGTAGTATTCGATTTCGAGGCGCGCGATCTCAATCTGCTCCACTAGCGAATCAAGAGAGTCGCTGTGGGCTGCACCCTATCCCTCACTTCATCCTTCCTCCCTTGATGCTCAGCTGTATATCAGATGGATTGTCGAAAACCACTTTCAATCGCGTACGGCAGAAATTCTCGTAGCGGCCATCACTTAGCACACAATGTCTAGCCCTACAGCGACCAATGCCGCCGCGGCCCCGCAGCGGCCGCCAATTCCCAGAAACGATTGCGTTACTATCGATAACATAGACGACGACCACGATTTTTTGAGTGACATTGACGATAGCGACGACGCACATTTTCCACGTCGTCATCCGGATACTTGACGATCAATGTCGAAGCGCACAAACGCGAAGCCGCCAGCAAGAAAATTTCACCTTCCCCCGACTCAGCCTCCGCTGCCCTCGCTTTTGTGCTGACCTTCCACAACATCTGCTACTCCGTTTCCGTAGTACAGTGCAAGGGAGATCCGGCCGGCGCCGGCTCGTAGTTCGCGCGGCAAGACAGCACGCTCGCGATTTTCCCCGGAGTGTTGCCTTAGCAGGGCTTTCCAACGGCGATTTCTGTCATGGCACAAACGGATGACGGTGCTACTCGAACCAGCGCCGCGGCGCCTGACGGTGGCGGGATCGTCGACGGGATGCGCCGGAAGCGCGTCCTAAGCATCTCCCCTTGTTCCCCCCCCACTCTCCTCTAAGCATCTCCCCCTGTCCCCCCCCCACTCTCCTCTAAGCATCTCCCTCTGTCCCCCCCCCACTCTCCTCTAAGCATCTCCCTCTGTCCCCCCCCCACTCTCCTCTAAGCATCTCTCCCTATCCCCCCCCACTCTCTTCTAAGCATCTCCCCCTGTCCCCCCCCCACTCTCCTCTAAGCATATCCCCTTGTCCCCCCCCCGCTCTCCTCTAAGCATCTCCCCTTGTCCCCCCTCCACTCTCCTCTAAGCATCTCCCCCAGTCCCCCCCCTTACTCTCTTCTAAGCATCTCCCCCTGTCCCCTCCACTCTCGCTCTCCAAGATTCCTCCCTATTGCACTCTCTGTATCTTCTCTTTGCGAGCTAGGTTGCACAGGTCGCTTCCACACATGCTAACACGCTGCATCGTGCTTTCATTTTCATACACATCCTTTACCAACGTTACATTCTCATACACACCCTTTTCCAACGTTACGTTCTCATACACATCCTTTTCCAACGCTACGTTCTCATACACATCCTTCGGAGTGATGTGATGCTCCATGTCGTGCTCGTTCTCGTAGTCATAATAACACCCTTCTTCATCGTATGCTATGTATGCAGGTGGCGACTCTTAGATCCACTGCGGCCGTCCGACTGTCAGCTCGTCGTACATTGGATCATTTTCTTCTTCATCTTCAATTGATCCTTCGGGTCGTTCTTGAGGCGGGTCTGCAAACATGTCCTCCCAGTTGCGGAAGAAGCGGTAGTGCCGGTTTGGGCGAGGCGGTCCTCGACGCACCATGCAAGTCAAAACCTTGCTTTTGCCCTTGTCGTTTATGTTCGTAGAAACACGCGCCGGAACTTGAGACATGCTGGCGACGGCTGGTGGTGACACTGTCTGGTTGCGCGCCGGAGCTCCTCCTTGTTGGTGAGCAGTGGCACCATTCTGGTTAATGTTATTGCCATTCAGCTTCCAGCAGTCTTGATGCCCAGTCTTCTTGCAGTACTTGCAGAAGAGTTCTTTATTATCCGGTGGCGCTTGTGCTTAGAAAGCAATTTTCTCCTTCTTATTGCCTCTTTCGTTGTACAGGTCGATCTCCTTCTGTTCGGAGAGGAGCATGGAACACAAGGCTGTTTCACTGAGGGTCCCTTGAGTACGAAGGAGCGACTTGCACTGGCGCCATTTCGGGCTCAATCCAATGAGAATGATGGTGACGAACATGTCGTCAGGGAAGTTACCGCCGCTTTTCCTGAACTGGTCTCTCAGGTTCCTGCAGCGGTTGATATATGGTCCGTCCTTTTCTCCGGGGAACATCTTGACATTGTTCAGCTGGTTGAGTAGGCGACTAAGTGTCACCGAATCTGTTGCCATGTGGCAGGTGCGCAGGTGTTCCTAGGACTGTTGCGCGGGTGCCCACTCGTTCTTGAAGGGGCAAATGCTCAGCTGCTCTTCGGACGACAGGTTCCGAATCAAGACGGTGAAGCCCAAGAGCGATTCGTTGTAAAACTGCGTCTTCTCCTGAGGTGAGCCGTTGGTTGGGAATGCGTACGATTCGTCGTAATACATCCAGATCCGAGCGCCCTGAGCTAGTAATTCGAATTCGAAACTCCAGGTGTAGAAATCTTGCCCATTGAAGGGCTTCGTTGTCCTGAGTTTCGATGTTGAGAGGAACTTGCTCTGCATTGACGCCATTTACTCGTAATGCGTCTGTTATGCTTGTGCAGAACCTTGAGCTCCGCGGTTGTCAAAGGTGAAGGATCGCTCAGATCCAGCTCCTTGAGGATCGGGAGGTCTTAGGGCATAGCTGGAGCCGTCGATGCTAATCAGCTAATGGCTCTCCAGTGCGCTGATGCGGGAGATCAGCTGCTCGAGGAGCGATGTGTCCATAGACGTTGTAGTAGAAGCAAAATTGGTGGAGGGCTGTACTGGATTTTCTCCAGCCTCACCGCAATCTGCACCTGGCATGTTG